AAGTGTTTTTTTGTTTGGTCTCATATATACCGGTAAACCACAAAAGTAAGAAAAATACTTCAATATGTTAATCACCTGATGTATGCCAGTGGGAACACACATTAGGCTATTATCCCAAGGAATTCTAAATTTTACATTAATTGACTGGTTCAATTTTCCAGAAAATGACAGAAGAAATTGTATTATCAAATGCCTTCATGATGAGAAGTTTATGACCTGATGGTGCCAATATAATTGTTAATAATAATAATAATAATAATGTTCAATTCTTATATAGCGCATATTACAAATTGTCTCTATGCGCTTAGATACGAGAGAGAGAAAGAGAGAGAGAAGAGAGAGAAGACATGAAGAATATTGAGCTTTCACCGTTTAGCAATTACAATTATCAAATCAATTACAAAATTCACATATTTACTATATAAATTTAAATTTAAAACTGGCATGATCGAAACAGATATGTTTTTAAGTCGGATTTAACCTGATGTAGTAATGGACAACGTTTTAGAGACTCTGGAAGATTGTTCCATAGTTTTGGTATGGCATACTGGAAAGCACGGTGCCCATATGTTTTGGTGGATGTGACTAAAGGTGTGAATGTATGTTTTGAAGATGAACGGAGATTGCGAGTTGGTAGATGACTTGAAATAATATTTTGCAAATACATGGGAGTATCATTGTGTTTACGTTTATATGCAATTGTTAAGAGTTTAAAGATGATTCTATCTCTATTCTATTGTTTTCTTCTTCTGCTTCTTCTTCAATTTTTATTAAACAATTGGAACATAGTTTTAGTCTTGCACAAGTAGCGGAGATATGCTTTGTAATTTCACGTGCACTTGATTGCCCAGTCGTTTGATAAAAGAGATGGCGCAATACCACAACGTTGAATACAGCGACCTTAATATGCAAACAAGCATCTACTGTCTTTCACTGTAATGTTTTAAATAATTGATGGCGCTATACCGTTTATGTGACGTATGCAAAACCGCAAATATCGCACATGATTAAATATCCCTATTAGGCTGTAGGCCTACGTTGTAAATAAGAAATGAAAAAGCTCAAAAAACATCTAAAAATCACTGACACTTCACCATAGTTAATCCATATTAATCTCTTTCTGTCCATTTTTTCCTTACCCCTTCTTTCTTTACATATTTTTCACTTATCTGCAATAAAACTATTTTATGTGCTTATTGGCTAATCATCCCTTTTTTTTTATTCTTGGACTTTTACTCCCTCTGATCTATATGACGTGTCATGTTATATATATATGAAAGGATGAATGAAAAGGTAAATTACTGAATAAAGAAAAATAAAAAATTAATTGTATAATTAATTTATTAATAAGCAAATTCGATAACAGTTTTTTTTAAAGTTGTTCACAAGTCTGTGATGAGACAATTTTGTGTGCGAATGGACTTAAGAAGAACTTTTGTATTCCTATATTTTAACTAGTCTTCAAATGTCCCAATGATATTCCACTCATTATTCTGACCTACGTAAATCAAATTGAATTGATATATATATGTTACGTAAATGTATGAATTTGATATGCAACAGTGATTTAATATGCTACAAGATTGACTCAAATGATTTCATAGAACATTTAAATAATAATTAATAAAAATTCATCCCCAGCAAGTAGATCTAGAACTTAATTTCAAATCAACATATAACATTTGTTGGATACAGGCAACTTTTCCGGCATAAATCGAAATATGGGTAATTAAAACAATACAAGAGGACACTTTTTTTTTGTGGTCACAAATTTTTTTAATTTGACATTTTGCTCCGTTGGGGGGGGGGGGGTAAGGTCACCTTTTTAGGTCAGCCATTACCATTTTTTTTTTTTTTTTTAAATTGGGCCGGGGGGGGGGGGGACGCCCCTTTTTTTCAGTACATTTTGGGCGAATTTAGGGCTGATTTTAACATGTATCTCTTGGCCGGGGGGCACGTGCCCCCTGTGCCCCCCCCCCTGGATCCGGGGGGGGGGGGGACAGGGGTATCGATTTGAATCCGTGGTTGGGGGGATGATAGTTGCCAAAATATTTTCGGCAATGGATCAAAGCAACCAAGAGGTAGAGGCGTGTGGCAGGTTGCACCCCTCCCTTCCAAGTTATTAACTTTTTAAAGTCACCCTCAATAAAGATAACATTTCAGAGAATATGGGACCCATGTGGGTTCCACATGGGCTTGCTACCTGGGTTATTCCTCTCAAGCGCGTAGCCAGGATTATATTTTAGGGGGCGGTGGTGAGCACGCGAAGCGTGCGAATCACTTACAGAGCGCACGAAGGGGGGGGGGGGGGGGGGGGGGGGGGGGGGGGGGGGGGGAGTTTCCCCATTAACTTATTAGAGAAAGAATTAAGACGATTCGTTGCACCGTTCTCGACTCTTAATCCTTGTTTGAATCAAGCTCCCCTTCCTCCCACGCGAAGCGCGGAAGTTTTGACGTTTCATTAAATTATTAGAGAAAGAAGACAATTCGTTGTACCGTTATCGACTCTTTATCCTTGTTTGAATTCAGTTTCCCTTCCTCCACGCTTAGCGCGGAAGCTCTGACATTTCATTAAATCATTACAGAAAGAAGACGATTCGTTGTACCATTCTCGACTCTTAATCCTTGTCTGAATTCAGTCCCCCCCCCCCCCCCCACGCGAAGCGCGGAAGCCCTGACGTTTCATTAAATCATTACAGAAAGAAGACGATTCGTTGTACCATTCTCGACTCTTAATCCTTGTCTGAATTCAGTTCCCCCCCCTCCTCCCGCGCGAAGCGCGGAAGGTTTGACGTTTCATTAAACTGTGTGAGGAAGAAGACGATTCGTTGTACCGTTATCGACTCTTAATCCTTGTTTGAATATAGCTCCCCTTCCTCCGCGCGTAGCGCGGAAGCTCTGACGTTTCATTAAACTATTAGAGAAAGAAGACGATTGTTTGTACCATTCTCGTGTCTTAATCCTTGTCTGAATTAACTCCCCCCCCCCCCCCCCCCCCCCTTTCCGCGCGAAGCGCGGAAGCTTTGACGTTTTTTCTTCCTACGTCCTCTTCCTTTCTTCTTTCTCTCACTCTCTTTTTTTTTTTGGGGGGGGGGCCGCCCCCTGGCTACGCGCCTGTACCCTCTCAGTCCCTCATTATCTCTTTTCCCCACTCTCTACTTCTTTTTTTGCGCTTCGCGCTTAACATTTAGCTTTGCATTTGGCGCACTGCATTTCTATGATGCGGTTGATTTAATAAATTGAATAAATCCATTAATTCCTGATGAAGCCGTATGAGCGAGAATTCAATTTATTTTTGTCTCATATACGGTTGTCTCATTTACTTTGTTTTCTATATGTATGTATTATAAAAATGAGATAGCAAAATGTGTATATGGAATTGGATGGTCATCTTGCGAGTAATAACCATTAACTACTCTCATCGGGCTCTCATCATTGATTTGTCTCTTCATTTTTTTGTTGTTGTGATTGTGAATTATTGGGGGGGGGGGATATACCCCACCCCCCCCCCCCCCGGGATCGACACCCATGACCAGGGACGTGATAGAGAAGGACTGGAATCAAGCCGCTCTCCTTTGACCCCATGCTCCAAGCCGCCGAAAAGTTATGCGCTAATCTGCAACTATTGAACTGGTGGTGGAATAAAAGAGCGCATGAAATTTCAGGATTTTGAATTTCTACATCAGAAAATGGTATCACTCACGTTCGCTGTCCCTTTCAATGATTTCTCACTGATTGTTGAATGAGTAAAGAGTAGAACAAGCGAACACAAACTTGTGTAATTTCATCTATTTTTTCCCACTAAACTGCAAAAAAACAAAAAACACGCATTAGCACACTTAAAGTTAATTATCAAAGATTGTAAATAATGGATCACATAACGGGACATTAAAACATGCACAAATTAGCGCATTATCCTAAAATATTGAGTTTTAGTCAGGATCTAATTTTACTTAAGTTATACCCACTCTGGCACACAAATTATAGGAAGGTCCTGAATTTGAAAAATTGTTTGATGCACTATCCCCAACAATGATACAATTATCTCCATACAGGCGCGTACATAGGAGGGGGGGGGGGAATTTTCAAATTTTGGGACACCCCCCACCAAAAAAAAAAATAATAATAAATAAAATGTGCTCTTAACCCGCTCCCCCCCCCCCCCCCGCTTATTCAGCGGCTGGTTGAGACGGTGCGAAATTTTTGGGACCCCCCCCAAAAAAAAAAAATCCCCCCCCCCCCACGTATTCAGCGGCAGGCTGAGTCGTCGCGAAATTTTCAACCCCCCCCTCGAAAAATCCTGCGTACGCGCCTGTCCCCATATAGGTTCAGGCGCGGATCAACGGGGGGGGGGGGGGGGCCTTTGTTTTTTGTTTTTTTCAATAATAATTTTTTTTTAAAAAAGTTTTCGGGGTCAAATACAAAAAATAAATGATGCATACTCCCCCCCCCCCCCCCCCCCCCACTGAGCGAGTTATTGGTCGCCACGATTTTCACATTTCCGAGGTCAAATACGAGAAAAAAAATTATGATCACTACCCCCCCCCCCCCCCCCCCCCCCCCCCCCCCCCCCCCCCCCCCCCCCCCCCCCCCCCCCCCCCCCCCCCCCCCCCCCCCCCCCCCCCCCCCCCCCCCCCCCCCCCCCCCCCCCCCACTGAGGCGAGATATTGGTCGGCGCGATTTTCACATTTTAGGCCTCCCCTATCGGCAAATCCTGGATCCGCCCCTGTATAGGTTTGTAATAAATGTTAAACTGGCCCTCCAAATTTCCCCGCAGTGAAAGCGCGGCTCGGAGCAAGAAACTTCAAAGCCAATGTTTGAACTCACGAATGCGTTTGAACAAGAGTTTTGACCCCTCCTTTCTTTCATCTCCCTGATTAGACGCTGCAGCCGCACATCCCCGTCCAAACGAAATCTGAGTACATGCACCCCCGGGCGTTTTCATGCTTTTTAAGCACGATGCACTTCGCCACCATAGCAGACGACGTGTGCTTGCCGTTATTACACAGAGCTTTGCCGTACTTTGACTCTTTGAGCTGCGATTGCCGGGTGACCAGCTTTTGCATCTCCGTAAGTCAAACATTTTTGTATATTTTACACTTCAAAAGTATTTTGACGCATGCAGAAGTATTTTGATAATTAAATTCATGACAATTAGATAAGACTTGTTTTGTGCTAGCTGGTGCACAAGTTTTTTTAAAATGATTTCCATCCGATCAGATCGTACCATGCAACTACCATCTCATACTCTCATACATAGTCACACTCACTTTATAGTCATTGATTTTGTTTACGTATATACCCAAACATCCAGTCCCAAATTATGTGAAAGTGTTGGCCGTTGCTTGTACTTCTGTGATTAACTAACTAATTCTACATTTGTTTAATATTATGTTGATGTCTGTTTTGTTGTTTTATATGCGATGTTGTTCAAATCATTGCTTTGAAAATTTGATGCTAATTCTTTTTAACCATGTCGAACCATACGAGATATGAAGCGGACAAAACCCATACAGAAAGAAAGGGGGAAAAAAAGATAAATTCTGAAGAAATAGGACTGCATGGTGCTCTGCTACGGCTACGCTACGCGGCAGCTAGGACACCTGAAAAAGATAAATTCTGATGAAATCAAGGTAGGTGCTCTGCTGCGGGCTATGCAGATCACCTAATTACAAATGTTAAACGACTGGTTCAGATGTAACTAGACAGAAATAACTAACTATCTGGTACAGGTCATTCTGTAATAAAACTCATATTTGTCAACATTCCCCATACACAGACGGTAACCCATTTGACTCTCACAATGGGGGGGGGGGGGGGGTGGATTAAGCCGATTTTGTACCACTTTTGCTACAAAAAGTTTCTGCCCCAATTTTCTTTATTTAGATCTAATTTCCTGATTTACAAATCAGATGAAAAAAAAAAATGTGTATTTTTCTCCCATGTACAGTTATCAAAGTTTGTATTACCTATTTCCAATTAAGAAATTTACAAACTATACGAGTAATCCAATTTTATCTCAGAACCATTAAAAAACGGTTTGTTCACATGCATTCGAACTGGTAATCTATGACATGACCCGGCCAATATATTTCCGGGTCAATTTACCAAAACATAGCAAATGGCCAATCAGAGCACTCGTTGACTATTGGGTTTATGAATACCGGTATTCATATATTACTGGGTCAAGCAGGGCTGACTCGTACGTAGCTAATGGACGTTCGAAAAGAAAAAATTAATATTCATTAACTCAAACCAAGATGGCTGACAACAAATCATGTTGACTACAAGACTTTCTCGGATTAATCATTAATTTAGGATTTAATGAGCTAGCTATCATAAGTCAAAGTAGATATTTCTGTGTTATTTTTTAATTTTTAATAAGATTCTGTGTAATATTGCAGCCAAAGTAAAGTGGATATATGAAGACGTAAAGAGTGTATAGAGGCGGTCAGAGGAGCCAGATGTAATCTCAGTGGAACAACCATTGATATCAGAGACTGAAGCTTTTGGTCTAGATGTAACAAGCTATTATTGAATTTTAAGAAAACAAAGTATGTATTATTCCATTCTAAAAGGAAAAACAATTCCATCAAACACTGACCCGATAAGAAGTGAAAAATACTGATATTGAGAGAACTAAGTATTTAATTTTCTAAGGCGTTCTCATAAGTCGATCACTTGACTGGAAGTATCACCTTGCTAATATATCTTCTAAGTTTTCAAGAAGTATAGGTTTTTTTATCCAAATTCATATATTTTATACCCACCAATCTATATTGATAAACCATTTATTTCAAAAACGTGCAAATACGACTAATTAAATAATAGTGACTTTCGTATAGTCCCAGTCTACCACTATTTGTTAAATTAAAAAGTCTCCCAGTGTTTGAACTTGTAAACTTAATACAGTTTTCATGTTTAAGTATCACAAAGGGGTTCACTAATACTGTTTTCACACTGGCAATATTTTGCTTAACCCCGTACTATAGGTGGGGTTAAGGGGGGGGGGGGTCTTAGCCCCTTCTATAGTACAGGGTTAAGCCTATTCCACTTTCTGTTCAGACTGGCTTTTACCAAAGTGGGCTAAAGTTGGCTAACCCCACCTATAGTACGGGGTTAACTAACCCTGTAAAATAGTAGGACTATAACTCCGCAATTGTGGTGTGATCGCGAACTCCTGCTAACCCCGCAATTGCGGTGCCAAGCAAATGAATGAGAACAGAAACGAAAAATAGTCCGGTACTACGCAATGGAGCATTCGCAGCTGGCCAGATGCGAACATATTGCTCCGTTTAGTCTCATTTCACAACGCCCCCTATCGTCAGAGCATGGTCAGAGTCAGCAGCCTAACATGTTAGGGCATGGTGGCTCAATGGTTAGAGCGTCCGCCTCATGAACGGGAGGTCGTGGGTTCGATCCCCGGCCGAGTCATACCAAAGACTTATGGGACCTTCTGCCTTCTAGCTAGGCGCTCAGCATATTAGATTGGAGAAGGGTAATAGTAACATGTTATTATTATTATTATTATTTTATGGACGTTTTTTAAAAAAAAAAATCATTTTTTGTTTAAACGAAAAGCACATCCACCCCGACGTACGTTATCACTAGCTCTTTCATTGGAGCCCTCATGTCTCATTGACTTTTGAAAGTTCACCCAACGTAATTTTTCAAAATAGGTTGCAAGCTTGTCATTGCCTATAATACACATGTGAAACAAGTCTAACTTTGAACTCAGTTTGCCAAGCGATTTGAAGATTATAGGTCGAGCACACGAAACATAAAAAGCATGAATTATCATAGATCACTTCTGCCCATTTCATTATGTCCATTTCATCCAACCCCTCACCGTAATTTTTCAATTTAGTAAAAGCAAACATTTAGCCGAGGTAAGCAAACACATGAATATTCATGACACACCATGGACTATTCGGTTATTAACAGAGGGGTGCAATCGGTCATCACGTCAAACTCCCCTAATTGCCACCAAGTATTTCATATAATTATATAGTTTGGTATGTTTCTTTTACTCACTCATGAATTATTAAATATCAATGATGGTTTAAAGAAATGTAAAAGAAATTTTAGTTGATATTTATTAACAAAGTAATTTATATTTAGCAAAGCAATCTCACATACGCCGATTGTCGCCTGCTTCGTTAAAGGCACATATTTATCGTTTGGACTGTAAGGTATACCAGGGAGATTTGTATTGTCCTGCAGTACAACGTATAGCAGGAAAATGTTGTATATGCGCATCCTTTTAATGATTACGTAATGGAAGTGGCGAGGCGGTATGGTTTGAATAACTTAGGCAGGTGAAAGTTATTGTATTGAGAAGGAAAGGAATGTTCAGAAAGGCATAGAGAGGGAAGTGGGCGTGGTAGCCATTTTAGCTTTGCACCTACATCAGTACGAGAATACACCCGACGGCGCGGTGGCCTGTACTTATAGCGCGCGAACACATCACACCCAATGGCATATACACCGGGTACCCTGCAACACAGTGGAACATTCTAAGAAATTAAAAAATTATCTACAAAATGGACCTCTTGAATCATCTGAGAAGTAACTTACCCTATTCTGATGACTTCAATGAATGTCAAGATAACAATGGCTGCTTTTCCATTCAAAATAAAACTAGTTTGCGATTAGAAGTAGTCAATTTCTCGATAATTTCACAAAATATATTTGCCACCGCATTCAATATGACGTCATTGACAGCTGATTGGCTAGTTTGGTAGTGACGTCGAACGAGCTATGTTTGTGCTGCAGTGATCGAGCGAGCGAAAATGAGACAATCGGAGCAATATGGTATGTCCAATCATAACATTCACGATATCCGGGGTTAACGAGTTGCAGTGAGAACGGCGCGAATTTTCTTATTCCGGAGTAGGCACTAGTACGGGACTAAAAACAGCGTGTGTGAAAAGCCCCAAAAATAGTCCGGGGTTAAGGATAGTACAGGGCTAAGCAAAGTACGGGGTTAAGCAAAACCAGTGTGAAAAGAGTACTAGTATTTTTTTCGATATGTTTAGAACTATAATTCTTCATTCCATACGTATCACACTCGTACACGGGATAATGTTTGTGTTCCCATTACCCGTTCGCAGAGACGCCAAGTTCAAAGATCGGCAATGCGTGACATTTTCATGATTCAGTGCGCGTGCGAGGGTATAACACATGTATAAGGTATAGCGTTTTTTCAAAATCTAGTGCGCGTCGTGCGTAAGAGCATTTCCAGACCCTCGAAATGCGTGATGTCACGCCTAATGCATGATACTTGGTAGCTCTGCGTTCGACTATAATAACCCATTCTATCCATTTTACAGGAGTACATGAATGGAATTCAATTTGTAATAACCTTAAATCCAGCTCCACACCCTCTCCCCCCACTCCGGGGTTGGAGGGACCGCATTCGTTTCCCAAACTCTCTTGTAAAGGAGTACTTTATACGCGACAAAGTCTTTTTAAAAAATAAAAAAAAATTCTCTCTCTTTTTCTTTGGATTCCTGAGAAATTTAAAAAGTGGGTTATCAAATATCAACAAAACAAACAAAAAAATGTTCTCTCTCTCTTTGGGTCTTCAAGGCAAAAGGGCCTGCAAAAGGGGATTCAGATATGTTTGCTGTCCTGAGATAGGGGGTGCTTTCGAAGGGAGGGAACAGGCATGCACATACCCTAAATAACACTGAGTGGGGGGGGGGGGGGCCTGGGCTCCACACTTTCTCGTTTTGGAACTCTATTCAAATGTTACATTTTTCAATCAATATCATCCTAATTAACTGAGTAGACCCTTTCTTATCTTTCTCATTCTCACTTTCCTTTCAACTCTTTCTCATTCCCACATCTTCCCTTTCTTTTCTTTCTCTTTCTCACCTCTTCCCTTTCTTCTCTTTCTCATTCTCATTCTGAACTCTCCCTTTTTGTATTGCTGTTGTGTGTTTGTGTGTGATTGTGGGTGTATGCATATACATGGGTGATACCTGCTGACAGTTGATGGTCTGTCTTTTTTTCCTTTCTTCTTAAAGGTACTATATATTTGCAGGCCAAAAAATTTGAAGGTTAAATTCCAAAGGTATTTGCAAATATACTAAATTTTACTAATTTAGAACTTTCCTCAAAACAAAAGGGCTTGAAAATGTCTTTTTGCGGCGGGAAAATAATGACTGTTAGTTGTCAAATCAAATTTAGCAATTGCGGTTGTTCAATTAAATAGTCTGATTTTCAGACCCTTGTACCAAATGGTCATACATTTTGTGCTGCGCAAAGATTCAACAAGATTAATTTTGGCTAACAAAAAGGGGGGTTATTGATGTAAAAAAATGCTCATGTACCCTTTACAGCTCAATTTATGTATAGTATTACCAAAGAAAAAAGTCACTCAGTCACTCAATAGTATTTGACTGTGAAATCTTGAAACTAAACAGGTTTCGTTGTATAATTTTAATACTAGGACACTGCTAACGTTTAAATTTCACAGATAGGACAAACATGCATGTACTTGACATATTCATAATTTCTGCAAAGTTCTACAGAATTTGATGTTGGCTGCAAAAGGGAAACAAATATACCTTTAATGTACGTATTATTAAGATTTATTTATTTTACTAATTAATTCAATATTGTGTTAACCTTAATAAGGGCCTCATCATGTACAAGCACAAGCTGCTTTTTAGAGGTCCTGGCCTTGTATTTATTCTTTATTTATGATTTGTAATGTTTTTTTACGATGCTAAATAAACTGAATTATCAAAACATTTAATTTGGAGGAATACATCCAATATTAATTTGCTCTGAATATGCGTAGACTTTGTCAGAGGCTATATTTCCTTACTCTCTCTCTGACCCTCTTTCGATCCCCCCACTCTCCCTCCCCCTTTTTTTCTCTCTCTCTCTATTTCCTTCTCCCCTCCTCCTTCTCTCCCCTCCCCTTCCCTATCTCCCCTCTCTTTATCTCTCCCCCTCCCTCTATCAATCCTATCTTTATCTCTTTTAAAAAATATATACCTTTTAAATAGTTCTCTGGGACTTTTCTAGACTCTGTTCATTGTTCCCAAGATCATTCTACATGAGATGACCTCTTCTCCCAGATGAGGAAAGAAAGATCATGAGAGTTCAAAATAACAGGAAATAACACCCACATTGTTTTCAGCATCGGCCTACTTTGTGAAAATATGGGGGAAGTCCCCAAACATGATCTCGCAAACAAAGTATACTATCTTTGCTGCAGGCCTACTTGTACTAGGCAGATGTCCTGATAGTTTGCAAACACAAAGCCTTACATGTCCCTGTGCGTAACAGTGTCTGCATAGTGAGACAAGGCTGAGGGCATAAAGGCTCTACTTAGCTGATTTGATGCAGCTAGAGACTGACAGAGCTAAACTCTTCTCAATGCTTTATTAGTTTCAGTAAAGTTTCAGTCAAATCGGAGTTTGTGCGTGCAGACTGGTTTCTTTGAGTAGATTCCTTGACCATAACGAGAGTAAGAACAGCATTAGTATTCTGTCTTGATGTAGGCCTATATAAGTCAAGACTAAAAATCCCTCTGGTTCAAGATCCCTCTGGTTCAAGTTTTATTTTAAAGTGGCTGTAGCATGATGAGACTATGTATCTTTCCAAGTGGCCCTTGGGTCCAATCGGGTATAATACGACTACGGACAACGCAAGCGCAGTATTCACATGCGTGCAAACATACACGAAACCAAAGCGTGAAGAGAACTTCGGTCTGTTTCGCGCCCTTTCGTGAATGCTAGCGCTCGCTGACCCAGTTAATAACTGACCTCTACCTCAGTGTAGTTAATAAAGTCCATTTTCTCATGTGCAGTTGTCCGAAAGAAGATGTAGATCGTGTCAACCAGTATTCCCCATGCTACAGCCCCTTTAATAGACTTTCACTTTTTTCAGATTATTACACTCAACTTCAAAGTATCTTTAACCAACTAAAGAGCACATTTTTTAAGCCATTCCTGATAATGTAGTAGTGGTATATACCAATGTTTTCTTTTTTTTCTTTTCCCACTTTGAGGTTACCATTTGCAGGTGCGTGTTCCCCCTCAAGAGAGTGCCCTTTTACTTGGAATAGGCAAAACAAGAAGAAAAAAATAGATTCTGACAAATTCAATGGGTGCTCTGCTTTGCTACCAGCAGATCACCTGAAAATACGCTTCAAAAGATGGGAATGTAGACCAAGACTACCTTCTGAATATTTTGAACAAAAGCATAAACTAACACTCAGTTTCAAATGCTTAAAGAAAAATTGTTCAGAAAATATGGGCCATAGTGTGCTCATGATGTTTACAAAAGGTCTTGGGGACGTTGAAACCCCGTCCACCCCGACATAAAGTTGATTTTAACAGAAGCAGAAAGAGGAGAGGAACAGGTCAATTAAAGTTTGAGTGAATTCCCATTAAATTAGAAAGTCTATCTCTCATTCATATATATATTCGCATGTATAATATAGCAGTCTGACCGAACAAACCCATTCATACACTTATGAAGGAAAAAAAAATTAAAAGTTAAAAAGAAAAACTAGAAATTTAATTCGTCATGGGGACGAATAAGGTGGTCTGTCTTCAATTCTTATGATCAAGATCATCTTCAATTCAATTACCCAATAAAATGATGTTAATGTAAAATGATGTATTGAGATATGAATTGATGAATGAAGAAAAATGGATCAAGTGATAATAGGGTAATAATAAAGTAAATATGGTTATTTATTACATTACTTGCGATTGTACGTGTTTTAATATTCAAAGGAGATGGTACAGTGAAAGGTCAAAAAGAAAAAAAAGTGAAGAAAAAAAATTGTTGGGGATGCCCGGACTCGAACCAGGGACCTTGAGGTCGAAAGTCAAGTGCGCTACCGATATACCAAAACATTTCCCATAGAGATTACACGTAAACGGAAAATGGAATTCTCAAATCCAACTTTGTAAGTGAAATATGAGCATGATCCTGGCATCTGATCGAAAAATAAAGGGCACACTTGCGATAGCTTATTGTCTCAGCTACAACATACTCAAAGCTCAGCATAAACAAAGATAAAACGACGGAGATATTGCTCGCAAAAGACGAGAATGTAGAATCCAGTTTTGAGAAAATGTCATGTCCCATAGAGAATACACGCAAAATGTGAACAATTGACATGCCTCCTTTAATCACAAAAATACGCCATGATTCCTTTGTCAAACTGAAGTATTGTGTGACTGCATTTGTAGATAATATTCTCAGGTAGAACATATCAAAATTTGAAAGAAAATTGATCAATATTTACAGAGATACAATCAATTTTCCAAAAATCTGCTGACGTCATAATATGCAAATTGAAATTTTGAGTTCGGAGGCCATTATGATGATGTCATGAGTTAATTGAGGGTCAAATGAGACGTGAAATCATATCTCCAACCATGATATAAAAGTTGGAGGTCAATTGACTATGTGAAGAGCTATTTCGATTTTTAAAATGGCATGTATTTGATCAAATTTGCATTATATTTCCCATAGCAGCACGCGCGGATTTTGAACTTTGACGCGCGCTCACGGCCTGATGAAAGGTCAAGAGTGACTGAAATTAATGTAAATTGTCATTTACGGTAAGAGGAATCTAAATCATGTAAAAATTATGCATTTGACCTTTTCCGCACGTTGTGAGAGCGCACAACGCGCGCGGGGACACGTACGGACGGAAAATTTTGAAATGCTTAAAATGACCTGATTCGTACTCTTGTTTAATAGTTAAGTGATTTTGAGCATTTTAAAATTTTGACGCGCGCTTACGTGCGCGTCATGACCTTTATGTGACCTTTGATGACATGACTTGTTGACCCTTGACCTGAAGTATATGTGATATGAATATGAATGACCTTTGCTTATGCATCATGAAGATATGATGGATAATGGGATTTCACAAAATGGCGCCTGGATGACGTCACGATGACCTGATGACCTTGAAAATGTTCCTGTCACATCTCATGACAATGACCTATGACTGTGCCAAAATTGAATGAAATTGACGTAACCAAACTTGAGTTATCATAGGCAAAAAAAAGTGTAGGAAATAAATAAAAATAAATAAATAAATAAATAAATAATAATAATAAAGAAAATTCTGACGAAAACAATAGGTGATCTGTCGAAAACGACAGACCACCTAATTAGTAATTTCTAAAATTGAGATTGAGATGGGTAAAAAAAAAGGAGGGGGGAATAAGCTTTTTAAAAAATCCTAGGTATAAGTTACATTGTTTGTACTGCGCTGCCCATCACCCAGTAGTCGGTGATTCTTCACCCTGACGATTCTTCCTATTTCCTTCTCAATATTTTTAAATGTTTGTTCCCATTTTGCCAGAATCTTCCCTTTTCTTCTAAAATCTCTGATTTCCCCCCAATTTTGCTTGTCATGGGACCTCCCCCCCCCCCCTGACGCCACTACCATCAAAACAGCTTTAGTTCAATTTATCATTCTCTAGATTTTCTCTGTACTCCTAACTCCTTTTTCTGAATCTTACTCTTGTAAAACTCCAATTTAGAGAGATATACAGCAGACTAGTGATATTTGTATTCATCTAGGCCTTGTCCTACACAACTTGATTTTTACAATTAAAGCTCAGACGTCATTAAAAAAAAAATCAAGCAAATCAAAACCAAAAAGGATATGCAAAGGTTGAATCAAGTACTGTGCTCGTCTAACTGTATAAATAAACCAGCTTTCCACATTCCTGCTATGTCCGTTTTATGAGTATTTGCTATAATAGAAAGCAACGTGATTGAAAAAACAATTTATTTATAACATTTGTTATCATTAACTCAAATTCCTCTATTTTCTTACAGGTTTAAATCAGCTGAGGAGCTTTCTACTGCCAAAGAGAGCAAGAGCCAGAGCCTGAGATAGACAAAAGTGTCCAACACCTCGATTTATTGATTGGATCAATAACTATCACAACACAAAATGAACACTTTCAATCCCACCTGTCTGCTACTATGCCTGGCTAATCTGACATTTGCATGTAAGTACCATAATCCATGTTTTCTCCACTTCTAGGCGTTGAAAAAAATTATTTGAATATATTTCTCCCTTTTATTTAATAAAAAATTGTTGATTAGTTTTCTTGATGTTGCTGAATGGCTGCTTTGATCACAAACTCTTATTAGAGTGTAGTGAGCAAATAAAGACTTTTAATATTATTCTTTCTCACTTTTATAGAATAATTGAGATGTACATTTCTTGTATACATATAAGCCAATCTACTCGTTAATCCCATGTCTCTATACATAAGTTGCAAACAAATAGGTCTCAAACTAGAAAATGCAGGAGAAAAAATATTCCACAAGTATTCTGTCTTCATATTTTTTCTCCTTCAGGCATTTCTACTCTACTGTTGGTTGCCTTTTCATATCAGGCATTTTTTTAGAAATTCAAATCTGAAAATTATGGAGAGAAAAAGAAAAACTGCTAAAACCACATATTAATTCTCTAAATATTATTTTTAAAACATGGCAGTACACAAAATACCAACAAATATAAAAATTACTATTACCCCAAAAAGTGTTATCACACTAGTAAGGCTCATTTGGTTGAAAATATTCATATATGTACAATAAAATCATTCTACAAAAATAGACACACAAATCCCCCCCCCCCCCCAAGAAAAGAAAACTTGAAAGAAGACCACTGAGTAATTCCAGAATACAGGATTATTTTATGCAAGTTGTACTAAATTGTGCATATTTCATATGTGCAACTGCTGCAGTAATATTTCAAAATAAATTATGATTAGATTCAAATATATACATACATTCCATCTTTCACATTAGGTTATTTATCAATAGTTATGGGCTCAGGCACAGAAAAACCAATTAAATGCGACTTTTGAAATATGAAACATATCATTAAAAGCAGCAACAACTTTAAATTGTTTTTTTCGTAATTGAGCATCAATGCACTATCTCAGTAGAGCCAAAGAGCCACACCATTCTTCATGGATAGAGTCCATTGCTTTCAATTAAATTAGATCAGGATCCATTTGATATGTTCTGTCTGCCTTCAGTTTTTTCCTATCTTATCTTCCACCATCTTTCCCTATATACCCCTTCTCTTCTCCCGCCCAAAGTGTATGCTTGTATGCCTCGGTCTTTCTAAGCTTTGTCTCTCTGTCTGTGAGTCAGTCCCTTTCTCTTTCTCTTCCTCTCGTTTTTTTAGAATTTCTCCTGCCCTCAATCTTCCTATTTCTTAAAAAATGTATTTTTATAACCCTTTTCTCTCTTTGTTACTCCCTTTTTTTTGTCCGTTTTTTGAAAGCATAAAATAGGATGAGAATAAAGTGGATAGTTGAACATTCTTGTTTTTTCACTTTCGAACAGTGGTAAAAATCATTACTATTCATTCAGCAGCTAAAAGACATATTTTACAATTATTTTTAGCATCTCCCTGTAAAAGAGAAAAATAAGAAAAGAAAAGAAAAATGCAATCCTTTCTTTTGATGTAATGCAACAAGAGCTGTAAGGCCCAAATCAAAATTTTAGTTGCGAGGGCTACTTCTTAACTATGCTGGTCTTGTATTTTGTGCATCATTGCAACACATTACCCGAAATGTTATACAACAGTTAAGCCATGGTCTCATCCGACCTGCGTAGGTGTAGCGAGGGGGTCCACATAGATTTTTGGGTCGTACTTTTGCAGGTGGCCCTTGCGCACAAAGCAAGTAGCCCACTTAGCCTTCATTTTCCTATACAGAGAAAAATTGGACATATACAATTTTTGGTCCGCGATGAACGGCAGAGCGAATGGCCCAGCCAAGTAGCCTTTAGTAATCTGATTTGGATTTCTTATGTTAACCCTTGTTTCCAACTGGAATTCTCTACCAAAATGGTAGCGTCCAATCACCAAACGTATCCTCGTATTACGTCAGCATATAAGTATCCATCACACACACACAGTAAACTCTACGTACGTAGTACGAATATATGGCCTATGTACCTACTAAGAATGACGTAGGGAACGAAAACGAGTTGGACTGGTTCATTTTATACACAGGGAAAGTCCAACATCTCACTTACAATTGTTAGCTCAGGTCATCAAAAGCTTCCTATTTTATTGTAATTTTGCATGTAAAATAGATTTGAATGTGATATTTTGTATTAAAGGTAAAGACCAGTTTTGAAAATGCCCCCCTCTCAAAAAATGAAAATGGAAGCTCTTATTTCCAATCATGTGAAAGAATATGTTTTGACTAATACGTGATCATACAAATTTTGCAGAGAAACTGCCTACTAATTGATATATTTGGTCAATTATTATATCTATTTGGACCTGATAGATATAATGCACGTGTCGCGCACGTGTGGCGGTAGTCCCATATACATCTTTCTTTGTATAGTGCTTGTAACTTTATGAAGACTGGGCCAATTTCTTATCATTTTGATGATTCCAGAACCTTGCAGTATACACACCAATACTTACCATATATGCTAGATGATCAACCTTTTCTGATCGATTCCACGTTTCCTTCACAATGCAATCGCATGACCATAACTGGTCTTTATCTTTAATTATTCATATTTTCATCTCATAAGCATAACTAGTTTACGTCTTTGACCTTTTCTTACATGTTTGATAATGAACGAATCACGAACAAAATCAACTGGGAAATTGCCATTCTGATTGGTCAACAAATCCAAAGTCATGAATGATTCATGCGAGCAGTAAAAGCTAGATTTTAAAAGGCCTCGCGGCTACCGCCACTCGATCTATGCGTTCACCCTGGGTCTCTAGATTCATCTCAGCCGCTGATTTGGGTCGAAAATAGCCAGTCACGAGGCCTTCAAAAGGCCAGTGCATGGGTAGTACTTTGTTATTGTATTTCATTGTTGTTATTTGCAGGGTACATGGGCTACAATGATGTTCCACCTTCCATAGTGGAACAGCCTGAATCGATTTATGGAGACCAACGTATACCATTAACTCTAACGTGCAGAGCTACTGGAACACCAGAACCTACGTAAGTTTCAAACATAGAGGAATCTTAAGGCTGCATTTATGATTGGTAGATTCTCAAACATACATTTTGTCAAGGAAAAAATATAGGTAGAACATTGTATGCAAACAACATTCCTGATGGTCTTAAAGGTAATACAAAGTTTTGGTATGGGGTCATGAATTTGGTTCAAATGAACAAATTGAAAGCTTATGCGATATACAATCTTCAGTGATCGTCGTCGCGGTCGAAATTGAGTCTTAAGTTACAAAATTATAAATAATAATCACTTTATGTTGTATAGCTCCCTCTCAAGGTCAAGATATTAGTTAAGCTATAAAACAATGTTTCTTGACTAATATCGACCGATTAGCTATTCCCGTTCGCAAATTATATACCACAACTACATATTCTGAGATTTTCATGGTCGCAGCTACCATAGTACTGCCGTAGGAGCTTTTTGAAATTTATCAAAATTTACCGGGAGCACCGGTTAATCTTTATATTCAATTTTTATCGAAAGCAGAAGTGTTTTAGGGGCTAAAATTTCTAGTGCTTTTAATACATCCTCAGGGGCATCCAAATATATCAAAATTGTAAAGAATCACTATCCACCCGTTTTTCAAAATTTCCCAAAACTTTGTAACGTAATACCTTTAAGCTTTTGCAAATGACTAACATGACTGTATATAGCTACTCGAAGATCAGTTTTGGGTAGTTCCTATTGCAATAAATGCATCACAATTTGTCTACACAAGACTCTGTGGAATTTCTATTTAAAGTGTGTACAAAAGTGTACAACTGGGAGAAGGATTGTGCTTTATTTGATGTAGAAGGCAATGCTTGCATTCGCCTGGATGGGGGTAATTACCTACAGTGCGACCCAGAAAAAACGAAAACGAGAATTATCGATGTTTTATCATAACATAATCACAATTATAATCAATAGATGACACATATTTGTAAAGCTTAGATCCTCCTCTTTCATTTGATGCAACTCATATGATGCATATTTCACGCAGGAGCGTTCAAAAGCATTTTGAAGGAAAGAAACCAAAAAGTCATTTGGCGGGCGGTATCTGAATTTTCAAAGAAAATTTCACATTTCTAGAAAGTTCATTTTCTGCTATTCATATGACACCTCAATCAGGAAAAATTAGCCAGGAATAACAAAGTTCTGTTTGTTTAATGGATGCTTGCATTTCCATAATTTGATTAAAAGAATTAGTGTTCACTGGCTGCCTGCCGTAGCAACAAACGAAATCGACAAAAGACTTAACTCCATTTCGTTGACGATCAGACATAGACAAAAGACTCCATTGCATGGCTGATTATCAATGAAACGAATATGTGATTGTGATTGTGATTAAGTTATGATAAAACATCAATAATTCATGGTGTCGTTTTTTCTGGGTTGCACTGTATAGTGATCGAACCAACACTCAAAAGGCCAACTTTAGGGACACACTATCATTTTGGATCCCTCAAACAATGGCCTGCCACGAGATCAAAGAGCATGCAGTTTGATTTAGAAATTTTTTTTTTGGAGAAAACTTCCTTTATAGCAATCACAGGAGCCAACCATGCTCACCATGGGGGTGGAAGGGGAATTGGAAGGATGAAAGTGATCGTAGTGTACATGTAATCATGTTTCAATGATTAATTCAATACCAGGTACTACTGGGAGAAGGATGGTGCTTTATTTGACGTGGACAGCAATGATCGCGCTAGCCTGGATGGGGGAAACCTAGTGATTGAATCATTAACAACAGCGGACGATGGACAGTACCAATGTTTTGCTAAGAACAGGCTTGGTACAGCAATGTCCCAAAAGATATTGACATCATTGGCATGTACGTTGATGCCTTCATTGTTGGTATAGTGTCATATAGAATGGATGAATAGTGTTTTTTTTTATTGAAAATCGTATTTATGGTTGTTTGGTGAAGCAAATTATCAGGTGTTGTTCTATCCTTTTGACAAGGCCTCGTGACTCTGGCTATTTTCCACCCCAATCAGCGGCTGAGATGAACCTAGAGACCCAGAGTGAACGCACGATCAGGTGGCGGTAGCCGCCAGGCCTTTTGCAATCTAGCTTTACTGCTCTGCATGAATTATTCATAACTTTGGATTTATTGACCAATCAGAACGGCCATCTCACAGTTGGCTTCGTTCGCGATTCGTTCATTATCAAAACATGTAGGGTCATTCCATGTCAAATCACCCAATGGTTTTAACCCAACCATTTTTCATTTGAGATTTAGTGCTGTGAGATCACACTCAACAAGTACACTAAGTTTCATCAAAATAAAAAATGGTCGGGTTAAGATTTTCAGATTTTTGGGGTGATTTGACATGGAATGACCCTGTATGAAAAGGTAAGAAGATCAGGACATCATTGGCATGTGAATTGATGCCTTCATTGTTGGCATAGTGTCATATGGAATGGATGAATAATTACGTCCTAGTATGTTTTGAATTAAAAAATCATATTTTAAGACAAAGTTGAGTTCTTGTCATGTGATTGCATTGTGAAAGAAACATTGTGGAACCAATCAGAAAAGGTTGATCATCTAGCAAATAAGAATGAGTATCTACTGCAAGATTCTGGAATCATTAAAATGATTAGAAATCTGGCCCAGTCTTAGTTAAAGGGAGTGTATCATGGCAAATACTGGATAATGCCATCTACGCGTCTTCTTTTGGACAACTGCTCGTAAACGAATGGACTTGACTAACTGGGTCAGCGCGGGCTAGCATTCGCAAAACAGACCAAAATTCTCCTCACACTTCGGTTTCGCGTATGTTGCACGCACGTGAATACTGCGGTCGCGTCGTCCATAGTCATAACCGATTGGCCCCGGGTAGGGCCAAGGGAAAGACATATAGACTCGTCATGACACACTCCCTTTAAGTTACAAGCACTGTACACAGAGAGATGTATGTGGGACTACACAGACATGTGGCATAAAAATCTGTCCCAATTTTTATGATATTTTATGCCATATTTAGAATATTTTATGCCATATTTAGAATATTTTATGCCATATTTAAAATATTTTAGCATTTGAAGAGCCATGCTTTTTTTTTATCTGATGTTCTTCCACACTTGCAAAATTAAGACAATGATAATGCTCACAGATTATTTTTCCACCTCTTCTCAGAACTCAACCTTCTCTTTAGGGTTGGTTAGTGAGGCCAAGTATCAAGTGTTGTTCATGTTCTGGTTCAAAGTTGGTGTCATTATACTCTATGGAATAGATAGTTGGGATGGTAAGATTGTATAGTACCTGTCACATGGTGTTGGCTTCCCTGTGCCACCATGTGTGATAAATTTTGTGCGGATGGTGGAACACGGTTTGAAATGTTGAAAATCTAACTTTCTTACTTATATGGAAAATATATTGTGCAATATTATATATTTACAAAAAGCTTGAATATGGTATATAACATTTAGGTCTCTACAACCTCCTCTCTTTGCCTTTCTTCCTTTTCTGAGGGTTAGAGACAGCATAGATCAGCCCCTTGGTGGCAACGCTGCTACAATTAACCCCCACAGCCCCCCCATAAAACACACATAGGCTACGCCGTTTATGGACTACTGGGACGAGAATTGTCAGTAATATGTACTTGTACTAAGGGAATACTTTCGGGAGGGTGGGCCATATGGGTCATATTATTGGAGCACGCTTTTTTCTCTTTTTGTTCAGAAATGTATGTTTTCAGTATGTTTTCAATAAATGTTTTCTAAAAATATTCAGGGACATGTGGCATCCCCCCCCCACCTATGCCACAGCCGTTGGGTGTCCCTATCCATTATTGCGCTTTCTTATTATCATTTTGTTTATTGCTTACTTTATTTTCATTTCTTATGAAAAACAACCCTCATCCCGTATTATGAATAGCGACCCTCATTTCGTCTCATGAATATCGACCCTCTTCTCGTCTTATGAATAACAACCCTCTTCTATTATGAATAGCAACCTTCATTTCATATTATGAATAGCGACTCTCTTTTAATTTTATGAATAGCGCTACCCTCATTCCGCATTATAAAAAGCAGCCCTAGCTGTCGTTGTTTTATGAACAGCAACCCTCTTCTCCAATTATGAATAGCGACCCTCTTCTCGTATTATGAATAGCGACCCTTTTCTGGTATTATGAATAGGGACCCTGATTTTGTATTATGAATAACGACCCTCTTCTTTGATTATGAAAAGTGGTCCCTATGAATAGCAACCCTCTTCTTTGATTATGAAAAGTGGTCCCTATGAATAGCGATCCTTATGAATAGCGACATTACCCCCTCATACCGTCTACATAGCGGTCCCTCACCGTGGTCCATTAATGTTCAACCATTCTCTTAATGACCTAATACAACCTCTTAAGTTCCACTGTCCTTATTACGCCTCCATACTGGCCTGTTAATTGCTGTTTGTTTTACATGGTGCCCGTTCAGAAACTATCCAGACACCATGACTCCATATTTTACTGTATAAAAGTGCTAATTCCTCTTTTGTTTCCTGCGGATTGGGAAGCTTCCTAGCTTTACCCCCTCCCCCTGCCAGTTGTTTTCCTTCCATGTGTAGGCATAATGAGGAATTATAAAGAATTATGAAGAATTTTTTAGAAGAACGTTGAGGAGGACGTACATCTAGGATCATTGGTCAGTTTTGACATAGAGTATTGAGTCATATAAAACCTGCTTGTTTCTTTGCTGTTTTCATGTTTATCTCCAGTCATGGATCAGTTTGAGAATGAATGTGAAACAGTACAAACGTATCAGGGACGACACCTGAAGCTTCTTTGCGGTGGAACCCCCGGTGTCCCTAACAGCAATCCTGCTCTCTTGATCTACTGGACTGATGCAGCTCCCAAACCAAGACCCATCACATACAATGCACGGGTTAACCAGGATCCACAAGGGAACCTGGTCTTTTCGTACGTTATTGCAAGCGACGCTCAAGGCTACTTCTGTCAAGCCATCAATAAAGTTGTAGGGTCATCCCAGAGGTCACCAAAAGTCACGCTGATGGTATCAGGTAGGCAAACCAGTTGATGTACCTATTAAAATAGACACTGTTAAACCAGAAACTTTCGCACAAATGAATTCTTTTGTGAATTTTAGGAGTGGTTAAGATTAACAATTTTTTTTAAATTATGGTATATCACAATTGACACTACACTGAATACCGGTATTCACAATTTGCAAAAGTTGCTTGCTGTGTGAATGGCTGTTGTTTACAATCCATGAAAGTTTATTGTTTTAGAGTAATACAAGCCCTCAATAATGTTGTAGTGTCATCCCGGCAGACACCAAAAATTACACTTAGTGTACATAACAGGTAGGTGTAGCAGCTGATGTACCTATTAGACACTGTTAAACCAGAAACGGTGTGGTGAGTTCAACGCACCCGTTCTTCTCGAAAGGGTGCGTTGAGAACGGAGTAACGTCTTGACACACCCTTTCGAGAAAAGAGGAGGGTCTTTTCTCGAAAGGGTGTGTCGACTAGTCTTTCACATCTGTCGTTTAAAATGTTTAAGGAATAGAAATGTCGTTTTATAAATTGAAATAATCAAAATTGAAACTACTTTTTGCGTAGTCTTGCAGATCAGGCGTTTATAAGAATTAAATCAGTAAATAAAAAGAAACTCAATGAAATAATTAACGTAGATATTTAAAAAATGTCAAATATAGGTGTTTAGCTAGTCTTGCATATCAGTCGTTTATAAGAATTAAATCAGTAAATAAAAAGAAACTCAATGAAATAATTAACTTAGATATTTAAAAAATGTCAAATATAGGTGTTTAGCTAGTCTTGCATATCAGTCGTTTATTTATTGAAATAAAAAATAATATCCATTTCTTTTTTTGTATGGAATTCATTTTTTAAATGTTAACTAGTCTTGCATAACTGTCGTTAAATTACAAATAAAAATTAATTGCCATTATACTTAATCAGACACATGTTTATGTATCCTTTAAGTTTTGCTGAAAAAATGTAGGGGAGCACATGCTTTTTCATGTTTTGTTTTTTTTACATTTTGCCAAAACAAATCAAAATTATATTTTATTGTCTATACCAGTCTGGAAAAATGTATTCACCGGCATATATGCCATCTACAATGGTTGTTATCACATGCACACAAATTTAGATTTAAGGAAAGTCACATTCTTTCACATAATATGCCCTTCTTTAGTTCAAAATAAATGTGTCACCTTCATAATCAGTTATTATCCAATTAAGACAGCAACAAGACATACCCAATCAACATTCACTCACATACCGGTTCAACTTTTCTACAAACTTCGTTATTGATGCTAATTAAAAAGACAAAATATAATCAAAAAAGTTTGATATAAAAGTCAACATTTTTATTACTTTTCAATAAACATTACACTAGCAAACAATAATAGTAGTAACAATAAAGGTATTGAATTAAAAAGAGACGGTTCCTTGCATGGGTCTGTGGCACTCTGTGCTGATCCTATAAAAGCTCCACTCCCCCTCTCTGTCTCTTACCCCCCTCCCCCCCCCCCCGCAAAAAAAAGAGAGAGAGAAGGAAAAGAAGGGAAAGGGAAAAAGGAGAGTAAGGGAAAGAAAGAAGAAGAAGAAAAGAAAAGGGGAAGGGGGGGGGGGGGGGGGGGGGGGGGGGGGGGGGGGGGGGGGGCGAAAGGGCCTTGCGTCGCAGGCTGATGCCTCCCGCCCCCATACAAAAGTAAGAAAAGTAGGAAGGAAAGAAAAATGAAAAGAGCAGATAAAGGGAAGGAAAAAAGAGGAAGAAGAAAAGAAGGGGGATATCAGTCGCAATTTTCCCGCCAACAAGATCGGGATCGGAAGGGGGGCGAATGGCCCTTGCCTCCCCCTCCCCCAATTACGTCACTGCTGGTCACCATTACGTACCAACATTTGGCTCGCATAATTTCAAATTGCCCCCCCCCCTGAAGCTTTGACATTTAATTAAATTAATAGAGAAAGAAGATGATCATTGTGCCGTTCTCGACTGTTAATTCTTGTCTGAATCCAGTTTCCCCCTCCCGCGCAAAAGCTTTTACGTTTCAATCAATTATTAGAGAAAGAAGACGATCATTGTACCGTTCTCTACTCTTAATTTTTTTCTTAATTCAGTTGCGCCCCCCCCCCTTCCTCCCGCACGAAGTGCGGAAGCTTTGAGGTTTCATGAAATTATTATAGAGAAACGATTCGTAATACTTGTCTGAATTTCAGTAATGTTCTTTGTCTGCTCCTTTTTTTTCCTACGTCATCTTCCTTTTTTCTCTTCTCTTTTTTGTTTTTTTGGCCGGCGTTCTGGGGGGGATCGCTCTCACCACCCCCACCCCCACCGCCCCCTCTCCTGGGGCTCAGGGGTTTAGGCATTAAATTACTGTCAGATGAGCATATTTTGATACCTCATTATTTTGTGACACTGGCAGTTAACTATTCTTTCTTTCTATTTCTATTTAATATACTTTTTCAACAAACAAAAGCTGGGGGAGCTCGAGGCTTCCTATCTCCGCCATTTCGCGGGCCCTGACATGTAGGCAACTCAAAAAAGCATATTTCTTGCCTGACTGCAAATTTAGGAATTTGCCATTTTCCAACAAACGCATAAAAAAGTATAATTTACTAAAAGTGAGGAAAAATCTCGGAAATTATGTCATTTCAGCATTATTTGTAAATCACTGTTATGGAAATAAAGAGAACCACGTTTGAATGTTATTTATACCAAGTGCCCCCCTCCTCCCCTATCGTACGCCAGTGCCCCCCCCCCCCCCCCCCTCCGATCTACACTTTCTTTGCGGGAAAAATCGCAACTGATCTCCTCTACCTTTCATCTTTCTCTTTTTTTTTTCTTTCCCTTTCTCTCCTCTTTCCCTTCCCCTCCTCTTTTCCTTCCCTTCCTTCTCTCTCTTTTAGGTTTGCTGGGGGTAGGGGAGGGAAGGGCCTTAAATTTCAGCCCTCACCCCGATCCACACATTGTTGGCGGGATTAACCGTTACTGATCTCCCCTTCTTTTCGCCCTTTTCTTTTCTTCTTCATCTTTTTTGTTCCCTTTTCACTCTCTTTCCTTTTTCCTTCCTTCTCTTTTTTTATAGTGGAGGCGGGGGGAGAGGGGGGGGGGAGGCAAGGGCCATTTGTTATTGGGGCTGAAGATAAGATCACATATGGCACAACAAAAAAGTTTGAAACAGTCCATTAATTCCTCAGTCTCTTATGTAACAAATTCCTCTTATGGTACAGTTAGAACTTGAAGCAAATTGTTTGGTTTGACAGAAGCTAAAACAGTGCTAACACAGGAATTTACAAGATGCTGGGCTCAGCCTGCAACCTCATGGTACTGCATGGTCCTACAGAATGGCCGCCTATAGCCTTGCTGCAGACTGTATAATTTCCCACTTTTCTGTGGCAGACCTGCCGCACACTGTTCCTGTGGCATATTGGTATGGAGCAAAGTTTCATCCTGCCGCAGACTGTTCCTGCGGCATACTGGTATGCAGCAAGTCTGGAGCAAAGTTTCATCCTGCCGCAGATCTGCCGCAGACTGTTCCCGTGGCATACTAGAATGCAGCAAGTCTGGAGCATAGTTTTCACTTTCCTATGGACTAGGGTGAGGGAAAATAAATCAGAAAAGGGAAACAATTAGCCTTTTTTATAAAATAAATCCTGTTAAAATAAGAAGGCCCCTAGACATGCAATATGTGTATGCAATGCATTGTTATTCAAACATGCATGAATACAACAAAGGAAACAAAGAAAATTGGTTAAATATTCACATCATGTTTATTGAATTTGTGTAACATTTCTTTGAAGTCCTTATGAATGTTGGTCAAAGGATGCATCATATCAAATCTCTCTCTCTCCTAGATTTATATGTATTCAAATGAATACATCTACATTGAGGATTTGCAATCTTATAAAACTTCATAAACCAAAATGCATTTACTGAGTAGCACTGTGACCTATAGAGGATGCTATTAATAAAAAAAGTGTTAAAAAAATATTGACTATGAGTATAAGTTAGAATGTGAGAAGGAAGGCATTTTTCAAGTAATAAGTTAGTTTTAAATGTTAATCAGGCATTTTCAGAACCAGCCCCCAACGTAAACAGAGAATTTTGACGGTAAAACCTCTGCAATTTGGGGGCTATTTCTTTCTTGTCGCGGTTGTTCTAAATCTCTCCGTCATCAGCTACACTTGAGAAACGAGGGTGTAATTAACAAAATATCCAAGCACCGTGAGAGAAGAGAGGGAAGGCTTTGGGATTAGTTCACAAAGGAGGCACGTCAAACAATCAATCTTTTGAGAAAGTACAACATTTGTAACAGACTAGGATCAAGTGTTTACTATACAATACACACATTAAAACACAAACAAACAATTAGAGTATTCAGGGTTGTATACAGATTATGGAAAGGAGAACAGTGCAATGTCAAACCACATTTCTGAGATTAATAATTGATGTATTAATTTTCAAACTACTAAAAAGTCAAAAGATGATTTTCATACCTTGTCAATGAAGACAAATGGATTATGTCTACACTTTAATAATTAGATATAAATTATTTTGTATTTGGACCCCATTTATGCTGCCCTGGTCAAGGACTCTTGCACCGATGTTGATATATATATATAGCCATCTCTATATGCGGGACATCAGGGGAAATCTTGTGCATATCTATAGCTTAGCTCACACAATTAAAAAATGTTCTACTTTTTACACTGAGTCAAACTTCCAAATTAACATCTTTCCCGCAACAAAAGATATATGTACTTTGTTATTTTCATTCAAAGATGTTTGTTAATGGATACTTGTGTCTACAAAGGTCTGTTTTGCCTTCAAATTGTGATTTTATTCTTGAAATTCTATGAGCAAACTAATTTTCAGAAACTATACAAAGACAAAAACCAACAATTTTGAATCCAAATATAAACTTTTACCACTGAGTGAAAAAGTGAATCACAAGTCAGGGCCTGGTTTAAGGTATGATTATCTCAAAGTAATCCTCTTTGACCAACAAGCTCCCCCTTCTATCTTTCTTTCTCTCTCTCTCTCTTT